TAGAAATCATAATTGACGGAAGGATCAACATGTGCGGTTCTACCCTTTGCTAGAGATTAACATCTTCCCTCTTTGAATAAGAGATCATGTTTTGAATCAGGCCTATATGATTTTTTCAATCAGGCTTATCCTTTTCTTAATCAGGCCTATAATTTTTGGAATCTGCCCCATATAGGTTTTTCAATTAGGCCTATATGAAATTTTCAATCAGAGCTATACTTTTTTCAATCGGGCCTATATAATTTTTTCAATCAGGAGTATATGATTTTTGTTATAAATTTCGAAGTTGGAAAATCATAAGTCAGAAAGTCACAATTACAAAGTCTGGATGATAAGCAATATTGTTCTGCTCTGTGTCCCAAATATTTAAATATGCATGTATTGCAAATCTTTATTAAACCACAAGTTAAATGAAGAAAACACATGTTGAGAATATCCTGGTAATGACTACTAAGTCATATTTATGACTTAAGGATTTAAGCATATTGGACTGATTAACATTCCTCACAGGTATTGTTTCAAACTTTGCATGAGTGCTAAGTTTAGGAAACAATGCCTAAGTGGAATAAAACAGCCACAATGCATTGAATCTTGGGGTTAAATTCTTTTCACACATTGCAAACTATTTTATACAATACTACTTTAAAGGTACGAAATGACTTAAAAGAAAATATTTTCAAAGAAACCTTTTGCAAGAAAGGTCGAGTTATCACTTTGACAACAATTGAACACTTATAACCATATGACCTGCATAAGCACTTGGCTTGTTATTTCTTATGATACTATAATAGATTTTCACTATCAAATTGATCAGCTTATCGGTTTCATTAGTTTCACCAGAATTGAAAAATGACCTTGGATGCATTCAAGTAGTATATTGTAATGCAATCATATTAAATAATGTGTTCTGATTGGCTGGAATTGCACATACATTGCCTAGATATATGTGAATGATAAATATTCATTTAAAAAATTGGAATTGCGTGGAAGAAGCAAGCTGTTAATTATTTCTTTATTGCCACCATTAATTGATCATCATAAACATTAATTTATGAAACATATGTCCATATACATTAAGTGTCAGAAAATAGAAAGTTAAATTGATAGTAGACATATTTTACAGAATTGCAATTGAGCAATGTTTACTGTTCCACAGCTGAATGACTCTATAAACTGCAGTTAGCTACATTCAAGATGGTTGCCAAAATTGCCAAGATTCTTTCGTTTTCGATAAACCTCTGATTTCAGCTAAACTAAGTTGAATCTTGATTCCAAAAGTTTCGCCATGCAAATTAATAGAACTACGATTGTATTCAACCACAAATGAATGCCCAAACACTCGCAATATTACAGAATTTTAAAGAAAACAGCTTCACTTAGAATGACTCTAACTGAAGTTGATGATCTATGTCATCATAACGTCATCATGATTGTTGTTTGAGCATTTATTCATGGTTATTTGCCATCGTAGCTTTATTAATTTACATGGCAAAACATTTGGAATCCAGATTCAACTTAGTTTAGCTGAAATCAGAGGTTTATAGAAAACAAAAGAATTTCGGCAACCATCTTGAATGAAGCTAACTGCAGTTAGAGTCATCCAGCTGTGGAACAGTGAATGTTTGCATTACAAAATTATTATGTTTAAACTAATATATGCGAGCATATTGTTATTCTGGTGCAAAAATAAAAGACGAAAATTCATTCTCGATCTCACACATATTTGACTTTACCAGGTGCCAAAAATATAGTAAGATATAGTGAACACTCTAAATTGATATGTAAAAGTGCTAGAAAATAAGAGTTCATTCAAATTTAAGAGACAGGGATTGTTTATTTTGTAGCGCATCCATTAGCTTTTCCTCATGGGAAGTAGTAGAAACATTCAACAACCACCTGCCTCTCATCACACATTCCTTGCTGTCTTAGTCAGTTTCCAAGATAAAAGCATCATGATAATCCATGACATCTCATTTCTTCTCAGCCCTGAGATGCCATGAAATAATGAGCTTGATTTGGCGATCCAGGAGAGCCCAAAATTGAGGATTTTTGAGATCTTTCATCCCAGCTCATATTTCATTTAATTGGGGTCATTAAACTTGTGTACACATACCTGTGCTACTATCTGCTGTTAAATACAATGCTTATTATGTAATGTATTGACATTAGGTAAATGATTACATGATAACTATCATACTTATTGACAGTTATAACTCTTTCCATCTGATGTGCTCAGATCACAGAATATGCCTCATAATATCAGTATGAGACTATGCTTTTATAGATATTTATTCACATTATATGAGACTATGTTTTTATAGATATTTATTTACATCTTCCCAGTTCTCTTGCCAAGGCTCAAACTGAACATCTATTCAAGATCTTCACATATCAATGTATGCAAGTTTCCATAAAAGGAACTCTGAATATGTAATAGAGGATAGGGAAATAGATATCTGAACAACAACTTATTTTTACTATACTAACCTTAAAACTCATTTACAATATTACCTTAAAACACATTTATAATATTAACTTAGATCTTCCATTTTGTACCCTGATATATGGGTCAATCCCCTTTTGATCACGAGCCCCGTGATCACATGCAATCAATAATAAATTTATAATGTTGTCTTAAAGAAATATATAATTAATTGAAAATTATAAAATTGAACAAAATCCAATTTAGTACTTCTGATTGAAAACTGTTTTCAATTTGATTGATGAAGACATTTGAAAAATTGAAGAGACCAGATTTAAAAATGTGTTTAGAATACATTTTGTACCCTGATAATCAGAGCATGTTTCAGGTGAAACAGAAAGATGCTATGAGTATCAGAATGAGATAAAAGGCCCATTGTAAAGTTTAAACCACTTTGACTTACAGGGTGTCCCAAAAGTAGCAGGACTGGTTTTGTCAATTTGTTAAAAAGTCATGTTCATATTTTTACAGAGTAACATAATATATTAAAGAAGGACAGCAGCTACTAGTTTAATAAATTATTTATATTTTATTTATACAATACGATGAGCATTTATAAAGATATTAAAGTTACCGTAGTTGCTATCATAACATATCATTGCAATACCATTGGTGGACAAGACTGCACGTGTTCTGTTTGTCAAATCCCATATAGCATACTTAAGCCTTGTTCATGAATTAGAAATGAAAAGCCAAAAAGGTTATCATCATCATTTAATGATAGGAAATTACTATTGAATACTGATGATTTATTATGCCTGCTAAAGATTGCTATGTCAAGATAATAGAGATAAACTGAGTTTAGGATTAGAGCATTTGATTGAAATTAGTAAGTACAGTACATTATTAGAATATTAAAACTAAATGCTCACCTTGCTTGGTCAAGAAATTGATAACTTCTCCTATTATGTACATTTAAAACTTATAGTAATTAGCTCATAGCCAACTTTTGTCAAGGGAGGGATTACTTCTTAAGAATTTCTGTGGGGCCTGGTTCACTTTTAACAATTTTTGTCCAAAAATGGCTACAATCACTTAAAAATTGTTCTGAATGGTGAAAAACTGGATCGACCTTCTGGCTATGGGCCTGGTAATTTTTTTAATTAACTGGTCTTGATCGCTTTTGAGCCTCCTATCTTTCATTTTTAATACAAAATCGAGGCTATTGAAATTACTTGTTTGATCATTGAAAAATGGAAACCTCTGTTGAGCCATTGCCTAAATTGATAGTTCTATATCCACCTCATTCATTATTTACAGACCACTCTATCTGATACTTAAATAAAGACATAGCATCAATTATCAGGGTCAGTGTAACTCACTTGTAAAGTGTACCAATATGATTCACTTGAAAATTCTAGTTAAAGGGATAGACAATTGTTTTATCTATAATTTAAAACCCTTGAAAGTAATAAATGTGGCAGTGTGTCACAAAAAGAGATCAAGAAAATTGAATGTGGTTCAAAAATAAAGAAAAGAATTAAAAACAAATATCTTCATTGGGATTTGACCACACTCTGCGTGATTAAAATGCCTGTTTGCTTACCATTACACTACCATCTGATTATTGTATTTTAAGGAAATTTTTATGGATACATGTATATAAATAATTTTGAAAAGTCATAACCTTACACTACTATCATTAGAAAATGTCATTAAAAAAAGGAAATGGTAACTAATACTACCAATAATATTAAGTCTTAGAATGCATTTCTGAGTAAGTAGCTACACCAAATTTAGAATCATTGATGTTTTGTTCAGTTTTCATTTTGACAATCTATTCCTATCATAGCCAAGTTCAAAGTGCATTGGCTCGAAAATCTTCCGATTTTGAAAATGGATCAGCTGTTTTGGCACCTTAACCCATCCTACAGGACATGATTGCTTGAAGTTTCTAATTTCTCCCTCTGGAATACTTAAAAGTTCCTTTAAATATCCTAACATATTTTTCATGATTCTTACATTTACCAAATCTACATAAGAACAAATATTCAATAATTTATAAGAACATTAAACTCTGGTGAATCTTGATTGATTGATCAGTCTATATGATTTGGGAGAAAATAGAGGATACTCTATATAAATGATTGAAAATATTTTAACCACAAATAGATTTATAGGATATCCTATGATTTTGAGGAATATCATTTTTATCTATGAGGTGATATTGATATCTTCACGAGAGAGCAAAGCGAACGAGTGCATATATCAATATCACCGAGTAGATTAAAATGTGGTCTGAAAAAATCATAGGATGTTCTTATTATCCTACACTTACAAGGAGTGTACTAAATGTAGAATATCATTGCAAAATGAATTTCATGCCAAATAAATTCAATTTGGCGGGAAATCAACAAGCGGAGTATATCGTCACTATATTCTCCGCATATTGGGTGCACATGCGAGCATAGCAAAAAAGGATATCTATTACTTGAAAGAAAGGACCACAAACATTGAAATTTTAAAACATTAAAAGTTTTTAACCAATTATTTAACAATGTTTATTCTTTACTTTCAGATATATAGCCATGGTTTCCATGACAATAAAATTGCTCTTCCTGCTCAAAGATGTGTCTTATACGAGATAAAGAGGAAACAATAGTTTATGGAGGAAATGCCAAACATGTCCCTACCTAGTCTGGAGAGAGGAATAACTGCATTATATTTGATGAATGGATTATCCATAATAGTATTTCTTCTTACTTTATTGCCAGTTTGTTCAGTGAACCAATGAGTATGTGTAGATTATCGGTCTGCAAATTTAGTCTGTTTTATAAAATTTCCTTTTATGACCTAAACTTCACCTGATCTAAGTTGTATTATTCACGTCTCTTATGAAGAAAAAGTATTTTGGTCATTGGCAAAAAATGTAAGTGGTAGTTCCAAAAATGCTCTGTATTTTGTAAAACTGATTGAACCTTAGAAAATATGACCAAGACGTGAATGTGTCTCTATATAAAATTGGAGACATAAAAGAAAAATATTAGAGGTTTTTCTATCACTAACAACAATGTTTTATTGATTTTTTGATGTAAAATGTGAAAAAAATCTGGCATGTTTTTCATACCTTTTTCATCTATGATTTTCATATCTCTCTCTCTCTCTCTCTCTCTAATCCATAGTGAGAAGTTCAAGTCTATAAGATATAAGATGACACAGCAATTGGGAAAGTTGGTCAAAAATCACTTCATCATATCAAATGAGGCTGCACCATGTAGTTGTCATAAATATGACTGATGGAGGCCGTGGGGGATGAATTTACAATGATGTACAAATTATTCATTTATTCTACTGTTGCTTTAGAATGAATATCTGGGAAAGAATATACGAGCTAGAAAATTTTGGTCTGAAGTATGTTTTATTTACAAGTAGAATGTGGCCTAAAGTGAACTTTATCATGCATATCGAATACAGTGTAGCTACAGAATATGGCCTAAAGTGCACTTTATTTACTTATAGAATATGGCCTAAAGTGCACTTTATATACACATGGAATAAGGCCTATACAGTAGTGCACTTTGGCATATATTTGTATTTTATATTCATGTAAAAAGGGCCTCATATGCACTTTATATGTAAAGTAATATGTGTTAAAGCTAATGGATATGACAGTATGATGCCATATAAGATTGTGATGTCATACAATGTTAAATTGTAATTGTATGACTAAAGATTCTACAATGATGTGTAAAGATGTGACGCTATAATTGTGACTTAACAGGCATCCGTAGACATACACATAATTACCTATATTTGAGATTCCCAAATAGTCAAAATACACCTTAAGCCAAGTTTCCAAACCTAAATCAGAGTGGTTTATAAAAGGCCTTGGTGCAGGACTAGAGCATTTCCCTGCATTAATGTAAATTACTACTATTATCCAATATTATCAAATAATAAGGATGCTTGTTAACAGCCAAATGAAATTATTGCTTGTCAGTGTATTAATCTCACATTTAATTGCTTTATATCAGATATGAATATCAATCCGTAGTGTGGCTTCGCTATATATTTCCCAATCCTATATCTCTAAATGTCATTACAGAAATATAAGGGATGACAATTGCAAACAGCATGTACATTTTGACCTACCAATATATTCTTTACAATCCCAAATTATATCAAGATGTGTATAGAAATGGCCGCCATTCTTTAAATATTCTATAAATAATATAAGTTGTCAAATGTAAATGTGTCATATAGAAAGAATAACAAATATAAAGAAATGGCTGCTATTTTCAGAAATAAATAAATGATCAATAACTACAGTTTAATAAGATAAATGTAAAATAATGTAAAATCAACACTAATATGGTGACCATTTTGGAACCACTGTGGCCATTTTCAAAATGAGATTTCTACATCTACATCAATAATCTGCAAAAGGCTAATAAGCCCATTTAAAGCAGAACTTGCGGAACTTGCATTCATATAGAGCATATGCATAGAAAATATAAACAATATCGAACTGGAGTATTCTCTAAATTCCCTGAAATTTTGTTCGCTGGGATAATGAATAAAACAAGAGTGTATTCTCTGATGGCGATAATTCGAATTATATCACCATAAGTCATTATGAAAATTGCATAATGTCTGTAATAATGTTCACCACACAGTATGTTATATGATGAACGATAATGTCTGAAATATGAGTCTGATATTTATTTTCGAAAATTACATTTTATGAAACAAATGAGGCAATGAAGATAATTTCCATTTTGAATCATCTAGTCTGTTGTTCGTAAAGCAAAGAAAAGCAATTGTGGCTTATATGGATATTTTTCAAATTTGACCATTTTGCTCCAAAAAGGTTAAAAAATAGACCTCATTTTTCTCAAGACATGCTAAAGCATTGAATATATTGTATCTACTAGGACTAGCTAATAGATTCAAAATGCCAAGGTCTCCTCTTCTTAATTCATAGATTTCTACTCCTGAACAGGGCCGAATCTGATCATATTATTTCTGTTTTGGATGACTTACATTAATGACTGATGAATCCATTCCATTAATTTGCCTTTTACAAAATAACATCAGCAGCAGAAATATTTTTGAAATATGATTGCTTTATTAACTATGATTGTTTCACAGTGTCTTTAAAAGTATGATTCCCTATTCTGTTGTAATATTGTAAATAGTAGGGAAAAACAGCACTAATATGAGAGGTATTTTCTCTGTAAACAGACACATGTAACAGTATAATGCTTAGATTTCTAGGGATTTGGTGAAAACATTTATATAAAGCTAGATCTATAGTCGGGTATTAGCAGGATGTTAAGCAATCTTTCATAGTAAACTGCAACAGTATATTAGAGTTCAAAGAATTAAGAGAAGTTGTACAATTTCAGTTCAAATATACATATTACTTGGTATACAACTAGTTTTTGACAAGTTGATTAGAAATATTTATGCACCCTGGAAGATTTTAATGATGAATGTACATAAACCTTTGTGAATATATTACTATCAATAATACTCCTTAAGGTAGTTCTGCACTTTCAAAAAATATTTGAAAAAATGATTTGGAGAAATGTCACTTCATGCACATGTTCTCATCATGCAGATGATGTTTTTGATATGTATAGAATATGTAAAAGTAAGTATTTGGGGTGACATCTATACTTCAACAAGCCTGATTAACTTATATTTTCTGTTGTATGAAATCAAACATATCACTGAACAGATAAATTAAAATGTATGTTGTAGTGAAACCTGTATATAGTAAACATTTACTGAACCTCCAAATTTTAAAAATCCTTGGCATGTCTAGAAATTGGTAATAGTACACAATATAGTCTAGCTACGAGCCTCTGTGCCTCCCCCCTCTATTTGACTAAACACCCTTTCACACTTCTTTTGTTTTAGTGGGGGGGTCACAAGGGGTTGTAGCTGGACTATACACAATAATACATGATATTTTCAAAAAGGTTTTTCAAAAGTTTTGCTGAACATGTACATGTAATGTAAATAAATATAATACATTATAATACATTATATGATAATAGGTATGATAATTAATATGATAATTATTATCATCAAGTTGTGTCAACTGGGATTAATAGTTTTAGTTTATTCATCCCGGGTGATAAGTATAGTTGTTGTGGGGTTGGAAAATCAATTACTGTAAATAAGTTAATTTAAGACACTTTTCAGAATTCCAGAAAAACTTTTGATTTATTTTATATTTCATTTGGTGCATCATGCATTGTATGGCCCAGACTACCAAACAATGCATGATCCAAATTACCAAACAATGCATGGCATAGCAACCAAAGCAATGCATGACTTGTGTGTTATATTGAAGTACTGCATACTGGTTAAAGAGCAGTTTGATTTATGTACAAAGTTGGATATTTTCAACTTATTTTTATTTTGTTTTATACTTTGCAATACTTCTAGATGACTAGCTAAAAATAAGTAATTTTAATTTCAAAAATTACATGATAATGGCATATTTATACATGTATATTATGATATGTGTTATGATTATGATCAGTTTTTTTCTTTGTTTAACTGTATAATATTGGTACTGGGAAATAAGTATTGTTGTTTGTATGATACACATGATTGTTGCATTGTACTTTTTGTATATTTATTGTCTTAAAATAAAATCAATAAAAACCAAATCATTTTCTGTTTATTTCAAGCTTTGTATGCAGAATGTATTATTTCACACTGAATCACAATTCTAATCTTCAGAGTAAAACAATATCTTTACCAAAAGTTGCAAGAAAGAAGCCCATGTGATAAAGTAACTCAGACTGAATTTAGATCCTTTCTTTTGGTGAAAATATTAACTACTTAAAAAATGTTATGTCTCACCGAGAAGTGGTGATATTTTGTTACCACCACCTTGGGGGTCTGTTTCACTCATCATTTTTGTGTCTTAACAAATTCAGCCACTGTGTCTGCGCAACCTTGACAAGATGGCCTGCCTTTTGAAGAGCAGATTTTTGTTTTCTCTGCCTTATCCTTTAACATCTTAGTAGATATGAATTCAACATTTTACAAATAGTCCAAAAGGCGAATTGCCAAATCCTAAGTAGGGGAATGTATGAGACATCATGAACATGTAAGGTCTGAGTAAGTGTCCATTAAATTGAATGAAATAGCCTAAAAGCCTTGGTTACCCCCAGCTGTTACTTTCAAACTGTTCCCCATCAATTTGAGCAAAGCTGAATTAACAAGGAAAAGCAATGATAACATCTTAAAGGTGCAACAATTAATTCAACGATCATCAACCAGTGTCAAAATATATTTGAGTTTGGATATTTCATCAAGACTAACATATATTTTTTATTATCTACAGGGTGTCCAAAAAAACAGGACCGCAAGAAAGTTGAATAACTCGGTCAATTTTGCATATTTTGCCTTGAATTATTTAGTTCATTCAATGTGAATTTTGTTCTGAAAGTTTGATGATAATCTGTTTATTATGTCAAAAACTACAGTACTTTACAAAACATGCTCAAATTGGGCACTTCTCTCTATACACAAACGAATCCTGTGAACAAAGCTGTTAATGACCCTGACCTATACACATTAATGTGGATGGTAAATATTGGGGTAGTTATTGCCCTCTTAAGATTGTTAGGGGCCTGTCAGTATACACATTGGCTTTGAGAAATCCTCAAAGATAAAAATTTGGGGGATTTAAATCTGGCGAATGAGCTGCCCATGGTTTGCGTTCTGCAACTGATGAGCTGACCACGAAAGCATTGCCTAAACCATTTCAGCATATCATTTGCAGCGTTTGGGTAGTATTGGCTTGTTGAAACCACTGCTTATCTCCTTATTAGATGTCCATTCTGGTGCTTAGTGACCTCCAAAACTTAGTGAGAACTTACTGGTCCTTGTTCAAGGTGATTGCACGTCCCCAGTCACATTCGAACCAAAAAGGACTGATGATTCCATGTTTCCTCATTGCCACCCAGGCAGTGCATTGTTCAGAATGCAATGGATGCTGTAACACTTCATCAGAAGGATGTAAGCCCCAGTAGCAATTGTTCTTGGAACAAACTTGTCCATTCAGAAAGACATGTGTATAGGAGGATCATCAACAACTTTGTTCGCCGGATTGAATTGTGCATAGAGAGGAGAGGTGCACATTTGGGGCATGTTTTGTAAGGAGCTGTTTTTGACTCAATTGGTAGATCATTATCAAACTTTCACAACTAAATTCACATTGAATGAACTAAATAATTTCGAAATTTCAAGGCAAAATATGCAAAATTGACCAAGTTATTCAACTTTCTTACGGTCCTGTTTTTTTTGGACACCCTGTACAAAGAAACCCCTGAATGAACATTATTTCAGCTGATATTCCTCTTGAAACATGATGAATCTTAAAAATCTTAAAGTGGGACTCCCTTTATAGAAGCTTTGAACTGAATTTACACTTCTTAATGCTGAAATTTAGAGTTTATCCATACATTTTAAGAAAATAGGTATGTCAAAGAAAAAAATAAAATTCTAATTTTCTCTCTACAGTTCTTGTTGCCCCTTTAATATATCTTGCATAATATCTTATGGTAGTAAACATTTTGTAGTTACAAGAGAATTCAATAAGAGAAAATAGGTTCCAATCCATTATAAAAGGAGTTTAAATGTTTGATTCTAACATTATATATGATGTACCATTCACATATACAGGGTGACCCAAAAAACAGAACCCTTCAAAAATGTAATGAACATAAAAACATAAAAAATGGGTTGATAGGATAGGTATTTAAAGAAATGATTACACTTTTAGAGGGTTCTGTTTTTGGGCCATTCTGTACTCCTCAGATTATACAATTTTGATCTTTAAAATCTTTTGAGGAATAAAGCATGATAATGTTAGTACAATATTTAGCCATCCAGGAGTCGAACCTGGTTCAAAGATTGTTTAGATCTTTGATGTGTCCCACATAACTGATAAAATGTACCAACATGTTAATTGCTTTACTCTGTCAGGAGTCGACACAACTATCAAACTAAAACAAACTGATTACAATATAGGCCCCAAGCAGGGTGCTATGAAAAATCTATCAAACAGTAAAATACCCTTCACAGCATCTGGACACATTCATACATACATTTATCTTACATGATATGTGAAGTAACAATAACTAGACCAGCCAGTTGATTTGGTGGTCTATAATGGGGTTTGTATGATACCTAGTTTCATCATAGACAAGGAATGTCAAGCCTGATGATCAGACAAAATGAATGGAGGGGGTAGGCATCTTCTGCAAGAAAATTCAACAAATCAAGAAAAAATGCCATATCTCAGTTATTACCGGCATTGATGGGCTAATATTCTCACATGTTTTAGAGGTAGGTCTAAAATGAATGTAGAAGTTGTTCGCTGCTCTATCCAGTATATCTAGGGGTATTTGTAATCCTTTTTCTTTATTTTGGAGCATTGAACAACTTCAGAATTCACTTTTTAAAATAATAAAGGACTTTACCAGAGTTCTTCATGACCATACTTCAGGGAGGTGGGCATGGGACATTGATAAGTGAAACGATCATTTCCATTAGCTTGTTGCAGCATGGTGTGTTAGTGCACAGTGTGTGTTTTCATTATAACCATCTGAAATGTACAAAAGTTAGATGGTGCTGACTGTGGGTATTATATATACATGTATGTTTCTATTTTTTCATATACTGTTGCAATATGGTCCTTTGATTCACAGATCCAGAGCCAGATCTAGACCCTATTGGTAGTAGGCTCAATGAATAAATAAGAAGATCGGACACAAGCCAAAAATGGTACATCCAAAAAAATGACTACCCAAAAATATGACTCGTACTAACTTTATCTTTACCATCTCTCAATCATTGAGTGATCAATATTTACCCTGTAATCTCTTCTTTATGTATTAGTTTGAATGGTTACATGATATCAATTATTGATGCTGTAAATTGAATTTTCCTGGGACAACTATTTCAAATTTTCAGAGCGTAAAGATAATGGGAGTGTTTCGGCAGTGTCAGATGTTTTTCATCTCTCAAAATACAGTGTGGGTCTTAGGATTTTTCTATTACTCGCCAATTGCCAAGTAACTTGTGTTTTTACACTCGCCAGTGCAAAATTACATTCGCCACACCGTTTTGAACTGAATTTGAACTGAAATGGGTTCAAAAGTTATAAAGAGCCGAGTTAAATACTAATGGAAAGAGGTATAAGGCACAATAGTGTTTTAAAAAATATTACACATAGCAATTTGTGAGTGGAGAAAGCAACCTTGGGGGATCTGGGGTTCTTATGATCGCCATATATTTTTGATTTTTATAACATTGTCAGTGGTTCATTTTAAGTATTTCCAGGGATCCAATCTTACTGCAAAAAAGAAGTTTTGTTTTTGTTTATAAAATGTTGCCCAATATTCCCCTTGGTCAAAAACTTGGTCTTACTAATTGAGTGTAAAATAGCGAGTCAACATCTGTATTACTACTTCTTCTTTAAGAAGTAGTAATACAGATGTCGACTCGCTATTTTATACATGTTCCCGGGGCCTATGGATTGGAGATGAAGCTAACAACAGTATGCATCGTTTGAGGTATGACATGTGATATTTATTGATGAACTGACTACAACATAGGCCCCGGGAACATGTATACAGATTGGAACTGTTTGATAAATATATATTAAAGGTAAATAATTTCAGTATTGACTGAATACACGAAAAGCTTAATTATAGTAAAAATGTAGTTTGATATAACGTTACTTAACTTTGTCATTATGCTTAAACCAAGGTGTCACTCCTGTAAATCATTGAAAAATATTGAAAAAATTGAAAGTACTTGGCCTCAGCTTTACATACATACCTCAAATGGCCACATTGCATACACTTAAACCTACTATACACACCATAGAAGTTGGCATGGCTTCATTTTTAAAGTATTAAAAACATCGCAAGTGGTATTTACCGGAGTGACACCCCAACCAGCTATGACAAAAACAAGATGGCTGCGGGTCTGGACAAAATTCAAAAGGGAATGATTTCGAATTAACAGGTGATTTAAAGCTAGAGATAGACAGTATAAACATTTATCAATACACACAAAAGTTGAACGAAGTATCGATCCTACTTTTGAGTGATAATTGGTAAGCTGGCAAAGCTTAAAATTTGCGAATCAGACCTTAATGCAGTAAGATTCTGGTTGGGGATAACCACCTAAAAGAAGAAGTAGTAATACAGATGTCGACTCGCTATTTTATACATGTTCCCGGGGCCTATGGACTACAAAATTAGGAAATATAAATTTTCTGAATATTTTTTGGTTTTGTCTTTGAGAAAATTTATTGAACCTAGAAACCAAGGAGAGGTAACTGGCAGAGGTCGGTGATTTAATTGCTTATTTCTATCTTATTCTTACTAATCAAGAGGAGGGAAAGCCCCAGAGTTTAAAGATGACAGACATAATTACCTCTCTTGCTTACCACCTTCGTTCGTTCGAATTTTCATCGGCTAGTTATCAAATACTTCACTTCGATGGGATGTTTTAATTGATATAGGCATATTCCGTACACCTTTCTTCATCTTGATGTGAAATGAGAAGCTATGATATTGGTTAACACGCCAGAAATGAACATAATATTATTCGAAGCGTATTTCGAAAATTTTGAAACCGCCATTGATGACGTCATTTGTTTGTCGACTTTTGACCAATCAGCGACAATGTCATCTCAATACAGATTTACATTACAAGCGTATGTCATCTTTGAACCCTGGTGCTTCTCCCCCTCTGTTACTAATCTAAGATTCAAAGTTCGAAATCGGTTGTCAAAAAAATTATGATTCTAATATAATCTACTTTACTTACTCTTTATCTCGGGATAAAGGTTCAACTTCATTAGAAGGCTCTATATGGGGAAATTTCTATTCTTCTCATCATCATCATGTGTACATTCTATGCCCTCCTTTTCTAGCCTAACAAAAGAAAGATAAAATTATAAATAAATTTTATAAAATATTTATGGGCGCCGCCATTTTGACCGGAAGTAGGCCCCGGAAGTAGCTAAATTTTTAGATTCCGATCAATTTGGATACATTTCTTACAATGTGGTCTTTTTATTTGATATAAATAAATAACTTTGATAACTATGAAATGGAGAAGCATTTTACTTATTAATTAGTTTTCCAAAATTGTTGATATAACGACCAAATGCATTCAGCCAATCAGCGCCCACCAATAACTATCCGTTAGCCAATCACAAAATAGTTTATCAAATTCGAATGACCAGAAAAGATAGAGCACGAAGTAAACACACGCACACACGAAAACGAATGAGAAAAAACTGCAGACTCTTATATACGAATCCTTAATTTACAATGGCTGGAACAAGAATAGGCACGGTAAGAATCTGTAATGATACTTGAAAGTACTTTGTAATTGGTAATGCAAATTAATGAAAAAGCCCCCGATGAAATGAAAACCGAGTGAAATCCAAGACTGGTTTTTAAAAATTAAAAAATGGTTGCCCAATTATTGCGTGGGAATTAATTTGTTCTTAGTTTTGAAACCTCGAAAGCATGTTATTTTAGTTTCTCTCAAGCGTCTAACCTAGTTAGCACTGGGATTATCCGAGGATAGAGTAGCCTGTCCTGAAGTTTCCCCTCCATTCACAATTTAAAGTGAATAGATCTAGACTTTATTTTATTGTGATTTCTTACTCACCGGTGTAAAAGAAATTATGGTCCCCTGGGGACTATGGTCCCCTTTCTTAAAGGCCCTTACTGGCCCTGATTGGCGAAAGAGTATATAATCAATGGAAAGTAGGACCATAATTTGATAGGACCTCCTACCCTTTTACACCGGGCTGACTTTTGAGCCAGCTGTGTTCAGTTAGTGATATCAATCTATTTCAGAATTACTTAGGAAGTCGTATGAATAGTGAAAATGATGGAATCCTAGGGGCTAAAAAGATGACAACCAGGGCCTCCCAAAGAGCTGCCCTTGCCAGCATTGGCAACAAAGTCTCACTCGCACCTGCAGAGGGCAAAAAGGGAATGAAGAAGGAAGTAGTGAAGCCAAATAAAGTATTGACCAAGAGTAATGCCACCACATCTCTTCAAACTGCACTTGTTCACAAGGAAAAAGTACAGGTTTGTGTCTTTTGGAAACTTTGATATACATGTAGGCCAAGTACATGGTTATAAGGTGCTTGTAGTTTTCCATTGTCCTCAAAGTTTGCAAATTTATTCTGTCAAAGTGACATCTCTTTACCAGTATCTCAATATTGTCAGAATTTGTCATTAAGATGATGCTTATTTATTCTTTAGGAGAAGGTCTATAGTCCAATGGAAGTTAGCAAGTCTAATGCATATTCCAAATGCCGTCTGAACTTTGAAGATATTGACAAAAATGATGGAGATAACCCACAGTTGGTCAGTGAATATGTGAACGACATCTACGGCTACATGAGGCACCTTGAAGTGAGTAATCCATATTCAGTTTTGTTTCTATGTCACCACACGTGTTGAAATATTGTTATGGTCTTGAACTATTGTATGGAAAGTTTTGACATTTTTAATGTTAATGCCTTGTGTTCACATGGCAACTATATATAGGTTTCCCAGAAGGATATTGAATCTAGCTTATATAATATACAAGTTCTTATAGGAAGGAGTGTGCGGAAGTTCTATGGGTGTGAACATTAATATTTGTCAAAGGTAAATGGTTTTGTAATGTTTTATTGATTTTCTCCACAGGTAGAGTATGCAGTAAAGCCAAGCTACCTAGATGGCCAAGAGGTGAATCCAAGGATGAGAAGTATTTTGGTTGACTGGCTGGTACAGGTCCATCTTCGCTTCCACCTTTTACAAGAGACCCTCTATCTCACAGTTGCCATCATTGACAGATTTTTACAGGTATTTATCTGCCATTTCTTTCTATGAAGTAAACACACATTTCAATGAAACCCTATCACCTTTGTTGCATCAATCATAGAGCATTTAGCACAATATCCAAGAGGTAAAATATGGACCGTGAAAATGAATGATTTCCTTGTGAGTTCTGGAACTTTCAATACATTAAATTACCGAACATTTGTGAAAATTGAATGTTTGTTCGTTGATTTTATCATTGTGTATTCTTCTATACTTTGGTCTAAATTATAAAGCATCACGAACAGGTCCTAATGTATTGATAGACTAATACAACAGCCGACCAATTCATACTTTCTGCGCAGCATTTCATTCAGACCAATAGTTCAACTGTAGATCATGCAGTTTCTTCTATCTTAGAACAGGCCATGCTCCTCTGTCCTAAACTCGTCTGCAAATGTGGGCAAAACATTCTTTCCTAATATTCTGATTATTTTCCCGTCAGACATGTTTGGATGACATGTCACAAAATTAAAGTTCAAGGTCAATACATTATTTTCCCGGAAGTAAACCTGAGGAAAATGGAAAAGTCCAAAAAGCATTTACACAAATTTCATTAGAGTACTGTGCTTATGCTTAATCATGAACAAGCAAAGCTGATATGGTTTCATTGAAATGTGTGTTCTAGCCTCTAGAGGGTAAGTAAGACTCCACATCTTCAGGTAACTCTTATGTTTCAACTTCTACCGATGAAGTCGGGCCAGGAAATCAGGTTCAAGATACCTCTAGCTGTCGAGTGAAATCAGTTCACATTATCAAGGCTTGAAAAAGCTTGAACAACTTTTCTTGTTTTTCACGTTTTGATGAATGTAAGCAATGGAGGTTACTGCGCTAAGGCTTTATATCCACTCTATCCACAGGTATACGATATTGTTATATGTAGAAAGTAAAATCAATTCCCTACACACTTGGCTCTGTTTTATCGGGCGTAGAACTAGCTATGAAACATTATCACCATTTTAGGAGGGTAAGCTCACCATTTTTATTACGGAAATGATCAGTTATATTCCTTGGTAATGTAAACAAAGTTTGCACCATGGTAGTGATTATTTGGTACTGATTATATTGTACATGGTAAAATAATTCCTTTTTTACTTTCAGGTTCATGAAGTTTCAAGGAATAAGTTGCAGTTAGTTGGAGTAACATCCATGCTGGTTGCATCAAAATATGAGGAAATGTACGCTCCAGAAATTGCAGACTTCGTTTATATCACAGACAATGCTTACTCAAAATCGGACATTCGCAAAATGGAAATATTGATCCTTAAAACTTTGGAGTTCAATCTTGGCAAACCTTTACCACTACATTTCCTCAGGAGAAACTCTAAAGCTGGACAGGTATATATGAATAAATTATAGGCAGTTTAAGCTAGTAATGTTTTTCACAACCTAAACGAGAGTAGAAAATATTTAAGCGATGCATTTGTATGGGCGATTGGTCATACATATAGGTTGGCTTTTCAATTATATATGCTAGCTTAAACTCCCTAATATCCTTGTACCATAAATAATGGTTCCATTGTAAACAAAATAGTTTTTGACTTGATTACTTTTTTCTTTTCTTGAATATAAGGAAGAATGAACTTATTCTTGAAATTGCATTTGAGGAAGATATGATCATTGATTCTTGTGATGTATCTATTGAAACTTAGTTGCTCATGCAGAATTGAGAATATATGTGTGTTGTATCCAGACCTTCTGTATTACAGGTTGACCCGACCAAACATACCCTGGCCAAGTACCTAATGGAGCTAACAATCACAGATTACGAAAGTGTGCAATATACCCCATCACAGATAGCAGCTGGTGCTCTTTGTCTTTCCATAAGAACACTGGATGGAGATGGTGACTGGGTAAGTAAAACTCGGTTTCCTTTCTCGACCTGCTGTTGACCAATCAGATTGTGATAGTTCAGAATTGGCTGCAAGTTTTTGAAGAATGAATTTGATCTTCTGCTGGCTAATGTTTGAGTCATTTTTGACTTCCAATCTGGTTATAATAAAATGGAGGTATATGCTTATTTTCTGTCTTGTTAATGTTGGGATTTGAAACATATCTTGAACTGATGTATATCTTACATAAATCATTTTTCAAGAACATAAAATCTGATAATTTTGATGCATCGGAAACATTCACTTCTCTTTTTCGGCCAATATGAGCTCATCCATGAGATTAACTTCAACCCCTTACAACTAAAAACCTTACACTTGAAAATAAAGCTCGATTCCAAGAAATTAAAATCTCAATCATGTACAAAGTTTGATTTATGTTGTTACAGTCTGACACTCTGCATCACTACAGTAACTACTCTGAAGAGAATCTGATGCCAGTGATGAGGAGGATGGCCACACTTATCATGAAGTCAGAAAACAGCAAACTACAGGTAGGATAAAGTACAGAAAAGAATCAGGAATAGAGAGGCCATGCAGTTGAAGCGAGTTGTAAATTTGATAAAAAAAAATCCTGGGGGAGTTCACTGGTTAAAGAATTCATTTGTATCTGTTTTCCAGATCCCAATTCATGCATTTTGGATATGATCTTATAGCCAATATTGCTTCATGACAGGAAAATGTCAGACTTTTAAACTGCTATCTAGTTACTTCCTTATGTGACATGCTTGGGGTCTGCATCTGTAACATATATCTGATATGATTTTGTAACCATTAACTTGTTGTTTCATATAATTGATATTCTAGATTTGATTCAGTTATTGGTAAAATGCCTGATGTTCATTGAAATTTAAAAACAAATTTAATGGTTTCTGGTCGTGATGATGTATACAAAATTGTCTTATCTTAACTTTGTCTTAGTTGTGTGTTTTCGTATTTCAGGCTATCAGAACTAAATATTCAACATCAAAGTTCAACAAGATTAGCTCCATTCCACAGCTGAAGTCCTCTGTAATTACTGATCTTGTGAAGGAATCTTAGTCTGCCTTGGTCACACCGCTGGATAATACACTTTAGTCAACTTTTGGACCTTGCACGAGGAACTTATTAGATTGAATATTTATAAACTGACATTCCGAGTGAATAATAGCATTTGGTGGGGCCATGTGTATTAGACAGTGACTCTATGATTAAGTGTATAGTGTCTTGAATGAATGTGAAATGTGACAGACGCCAGAAATCCTAGCTGACTGGCATATATAAATTGGAACATTGATAATATTGGTGTCTGATGATATTAAAAGCGTTCAAAAATAGTTTATGATTCTGGGAGTATATTTTGTTGAATACGCATTTTTGATTTTTCCTAGCTTAAATAATGCAATAGTTTTAGAGTGGCACCATTTATGCTCTCTAAAAGAAGACTGCAACACACACATTTTCTAGTTTGAGCGCTTTTTACGTCTATGTACGTTTGAAATTTCATACATATTTATTTCCATATCTATTACTTCATTTCTAACAGTGGGTAGAGAGAGCACATTCGTATTAACTTAATCATGGCTTGTCATAATAATAATCATCAATCCATAAAATCTGGTGATTTTCTCCGCAAGATCACTGCTTGGAAAAAAGCGGTACATCATGAAAGTAGTTCAGTCACTTGCCTTGTAATTAGCAATGATATGTGTTGTGTTATGATGGACACATGATCCTAGATCAATTTGAATAGGGATCTGGTACAACCAGTGATTTTAGTTCTCATTGTAAGTTTTATATTTGATTGCAGGAATTGTGTAGTTTTGTCGATTGTAAGAATTTAATGTAGATTTTCGGCCAGATATTTTCAGAGATCTATCGGACCACATCTGGCAAAATGAATAATGTTATTCTTCAAACATCAGAAATTTAGTACAAAATAAGTTATCAAAATATTCCGAAATTTTACAATTGACAAAAGTGCACAATTTCAATGACATTTTTAGAAGCATGAATGAATATTTTATGAAATTCAGATACTGTAAAGTTGTGTTTGACATATGTAATAAATTTTATACAATATTACATACTCAATTCTGTTTTCATAGATTCAGTTCATCTAACGTAGACAATTTAGATTTGTAGTGTGTTTTAGACTAGAATTTAGAAAATATATCTGCATATTTTATGCCTGAACTTAGATTATATTGATCACTGTTTTATTGTTGAATATTTAAAGAATCTTAATTTGAAAAGTTGTGAAGAAATGCCAAAATTATTCTGTCCGCTCCAAAAATGCGAGTAAGGGACTATCCCATATTGGAATTAATATTCAAAGAGTCCTCAACTTAAAAAATATAGAAAATTGTAATGTCTGAAAAATCGAATCTGTCCAGCATATTATTAAACCTCGATGTCTTGCCCTTTGGAGAGCCCAAAAAAGTAATTTGTATCCCGTTTAATGAAGAATATTGACATTTAAGACCCTGCATATCAATATGCCAGAATTGAAAAAATTTCGGTGCAAGTACTAAATGAATAATTTATACAAAAAGTTAGAAGAAAAGTATCCACCAAAACATTGCTTACTTTCTTTGTACAGCATTGAATGATATTTCTTGATAAGTCGCCGTGTAAGTGATTGGTGTTTATCAATACAAGGGATTATACTCTCTCAAAGTTACTGAGCATCAAGTTTTGATGATTTGATCATACCTACTGAGGTTTTAGGTACATCATACCTTATAAAGTTCCAAAATTCCAAAACATACCGTTCACGTTTTCTTGTTCTTAAAGATTGCGAGATTTCCCCAAAATTTGAAAAAATGAAAAAATTTGAAAAAAAATTGAAAAGAGCGGGACCGGGATGGATACAGGCTGTATCCATCCCGCCCCGCTCCTCGGTGATAGATCCCTAGATACAGTATATATTCCTGCTCGTTATTTACCTAGAACCTTAGTAGGTATGGAATACAAGGGATTATACTCTCTCAAAGTTACTGAGCATCAAGTTTTGATGATTTGTATATGATTTGATCATATATATTAATATGATTTGTATTTGTGTCTCAAAAATCTGTACCCAAAAGTATATCAACAGAATAGACAAAGGAATTCACTTTTTCAGACCTTTTTGTATGGTCTTGTAGTCAGAACATGTAAGTTTTTTCCTCAAAACACAGTTTTTAATTCAGATTTGCCTTTTGATACTTTAACCCTTTACCTTTTACAACACATAATCAATGTAACCTCAAAGGATGAGTCCGTATATATGCCCTTTTGGTCCCTCAGTTAAATGTATGTGAAATATGGTTTTTATTACTGTCCGAGTTATATTTGATAAGTATATTTACTTTTCCATGAGTTTTGATGCATAATTAACCCCCTGCTGAGAGTCAGGGGTCCGTTTTTGGAACCGTCGTAACTTACGATTTGGTCGCAAGTCATTGTTCGTCATAAAATAGACAATGGATTTCTCGGAATCGTAAGTTAGGATCGTACCAAAAACGAACCCCAGAATAAGTGTCCTAACAAAAAACAATTAGTCATTATCAAAGAAAAAAGCACCAATGGCAACATGTATGACATACAAAGAAGAAATCATATTTTTAAAATATATTTAAGGATTAAAAAAAAATTCAAATTTATGAATTTCCCGCCAGTTTAATTTGAAGGGGGAAAAACAAGATGGCTGCCATTTGATCAAGAAATATCAGAAAAAAATTTGCTTCACTTTTAATTTTCACAATGAGCACAGTTTTCCAGTTTAGGTTTTTTGATTGATTCTGACACTTTATCACCAGGGTCATGTTTTGAGATTATAAAATTGAAACCAAAATGTTGTGCTCAGCATGAATTTGACTGAAATATGTGTAACTTCACCAACACAATTGAAGTGTCAAAACTGGATGCTCAGTAACTTTGAGTGACTATAATCTCTTGATTACCCAGATAAACACCAATTCACTTATCCAGAAATACCATTCAATGTCTATACAAAGAAAGTAAGAAATGTTTTGGAGGATATGTTTCAAACTATTTGTATAAATCATTCATTTAATATTTTGCCATTGATTTTTTTTCAATTCTGGCAAAGGGATATGCATCGTCTTTGATGCCAATATTCGTCATCAATTGTGATAGAAATTGATATTTTTGTAATCTCAGAACAAGGATAAGATATTGAACTTTAATAATATTGAACTTTAATAATATGTGTGATTGAGTTGGTTTTTCAGACATAACAATTTTCTAAGTCGATACCCAGACTCATTCCCAGACTCATCCTTTCGATGACAGTCTGCATCCTTAGTTACTATATTGTTCATCACATTGCTGGTCTTGTTGTTGAAATGCTGGTCTTAAGTTTTCCTAGGTCTCTTAGCTTGGGTTTAGCATAAAAATGCCCCCGGGAAAAAAGTATGGACCGTCAAATCTGGTGAATACGGAGGCCCTCGATGTCTTATAGCCCCCTTATACAAAGAGGTCAGACGTGCAAGAACAAACTGCATTGGTTGGAATTCTAGTGTAGCCTTTATGTTTCAACAATATGATTTTCTGTTCAATTCTTCATGGGTCTAAGTTATTTCTACTTTGTATTTCATACATGTTGCCGTTGGTGTTTTTTATGATGACTATTTGTTTTTTGTTATGATACTTATTTTAACTCTCAGCAGGGGGTTCATAATGCATCAAAACTCATGAAAAAGTGCAAATACTTATCAAATATAACTAGGACAGTAATAAAAACCATATTTCACATACATTTAAATGAGAGACCAAAAGGGCAGACTCATCCATTGCACTTGCCATATGATTAAAAGGTTCAGATAGGTTATCACAAACAATTTCAGACGGTTCATATGATATCTTGGATTATGACTATTTTCAGACCATGAAGACAGGTATATCTTTTAGATCCATTCATTATCTCAAAGAAAAGTACATACGATAATAAAGTCAATCAGACTCAGTGATATTTAGCTAGCAATCAACCCATCGACATGCTTTTTCAAAGATGTTGACCTCATTTTCACCCAAAATTTAAGGAAATCGAACATCCCAGATAGCACAACTCTGATGGGCCAACGTTGGCCCAACAATTACGTATCTGTTGGTCCAACGTTGGCTGACGTGGTTGGCCCACCGTCGCTATGTCCATTGGCCCAACGTTGGCCCATCGAAGGAAAATATGGTTGGTCCAACGTTGGCTGACGTGGTTGGGCCACCGTCACTATGTCCATTGGCCCAACGTTGGCCCATCGAAGGAAAATATGGTTGGTCCAACGTTGGCTGACGTGGTTGGGCCACCGTCACTATGTCCATTGGCCCAACGTTGGCCCATCGAAGGAAAATATGGTTGGTCCAACGTTGGCTGACGTGGTTGGGCCACCGTCACTATGTCCATTGGCCCAACGTTGGCCCACCGAAGGAAAATATGGTTGGCCCAACGTTGGTCCATTGTTGGCCCGACATGATTTCAAGCTACGTTGGCCCACTGGTGACACAAATTTACTTTTTTTGTACAGCCATTGTTGGCTCCCTGGAATTAGCGGCAGCCCACAACAGGCCGCAAACCAGCTACAATTTGCAGACTGCAACCATGCCACCCAATGGCCACCAGTAGTGACATTGGCCCGACGTCTTATCTGTGATATCTGGGCATTCAGTACTGCCACTGTAAATGTGTTCACATATAATATCCGTTCTACATCAATAAAATATGGTGGCTTGTTTTTCCATACTAAATATATTTGGTAGCCTTATAAGTGGTTTCAACTGTATTACAAGGCGAAAATCCATATTTCTGAGGTAAACAACATTATCAGATAATTTTGAAAGAAAATATTTCATAAAATTTACCTTAATTTTTTTTAATGACTGCTGGTATGTTTTTCTTCTATTTTTAGGCAAAGCATTTGCACTTATATCTGGATTAGCGGTAGCCAACGACGGGCCAACGTTGGCCCAACTACAATTTGCCAACTGCAATTTTGATCCTGATACTAGCGGCAGCCAACGACGGGCCAACGTTAGCCCAACTACAATTTGCCAATTGCAATTTTGCACTGATTTATCGATAGGTGGCTCCCTGGTATTAGCGGCAGCTAACGACGGGCCAACGTTGGCCCAACTACAATTTGCCAACTGCAATTTTGATCCTGCGGTATTAGCGGCAGCCAACCACGGGCCAACGTTGGCACAACTTCAATTTGCCAACTGCAATTTTGATCCTGATATTAGCGGCAGCCAACGACGGGCCAACGTTGGCCCAACTACAATTTGCCAACTGCAATTTTGCAGTGATTTATCGATAGGTAGCTCCCTGGTATTAGCGGCAGCCAACGACGGGCCAACGTTGGCCCAACTACAATTTGCCAACTGCAATTTTGATCCTGCGGTATTAGCGGCAGCCAACAACGGGCCAACGTTGGCCCAACTACAATTTGCCAACTGCAATTTTGATCCTGATATTAGCGGCAGCCAACGACGGGCCAACGTTGGTCCAACTACAATTTGCCAACTGCGATCATGCCAACCAATGGCCACCAATAGCGACGTTGGCCCGACGTCTCAGTGCTATCTGGGATGTCTCAAAGCACATTCTAATTATGCATTCAACAATATAATAAAAGGTTCAAGGTGAATAACACCCGGGGATATTCTTGATATTATATCGTAAAATATCGTATTGTCCCACCCAATCCCGCTAATGAAAATCGTATCCACCTCCCAATCCCGCTCACGAAAATGGTACCTCCCGCGAATTTTTGCCAAATGAGAAAGCTTTGTTCAGTTGGGTCGATATAGCGTGCTAAAATAATGTTCTCATGTGAGAAACGATATTTTCCAAATAAAATTGAAAATAGAGATTTTGAAACTAAGAACTATATGTGTGTGGATTAAACCTGTAATCTCATCATCATGCTCTGACACGGACAGTCAACGTCATAGAAATCTGAGCAAAATGCTAATGCCCTGTGATGGACATGTTTACGTATTGTTAATTTTTTGATGTTGATGTATTTATGTTGTACAATAAAGTTGTTATATTTCAAAATGTCATAGAGATAAGTCATATTTTGTAGACTAAATATATAATGGCAATATGATATTTCCCTCCGGGCCCTCGGAAAATATCATATTGTCCCTCGGAATAAAACCCATATAATTGAATCCCTCCCAGTAAATAACCTCTTTGTATTTCATGCCTACTGAGGTTCTAGGTACATAACGAGTGGGAATATATAGTGTATCTAGGGAGCGATCGCCAAGGTCCGGGACCGGGATGGATACGCTGTATCCACCCCGGTCCCGCTCCTAGCGAAATCAATTTACGTTTTACTCAATTCACTAAATAAAAATTATATTTCAAATACACTTATGCTTCTTCCTTCTACATTTTGATTCACACGGTTTCAGTTGCTTTAACTTCACCTTGATGATCTAAGAATGAATCCCTA